TATATATTTTGTTTAGTTTATTTTATATACCGGTACTTGTTTTTTTTTTTTTTTTTTTTGTAGTTTTCAACCCTTTTTAAGGAAGAATATTCTTAATATGTTAGATTATGTGCCCTAATTAAATACAAATTATTCCAAAGCATCAAATGTTGGTGGGTAGGAGTCCCAAATTATCAGCAGTTTGTCAAAAAAACAATGGCAACATCTTTGTGGTAATATTCAATCGATTAATGTTTTATATGAATTATGAACCAAAACGGCAATACTGCAGATGTTTACCACAAAAATACAGGCTACCATTGCTCATATCGTATTTGTTTCCTTTTTTTTAAATTTGCCTAACACAAAGCTCATAGCCGTTGCTTAATTGACAGAATGGATTATACATCTTAACAACGGCTGCAAAAGAGCGTTACAGTACATATGCACATTTTACCTCAGTTGATAAAGATAATTTCACTAGGCTTTTTTTTTGTTCATCCAAGTATGAATTTTTTAATGAAAACCTAATGTTCAGTGTTGCATTACTTTTGCAATTATACAATACAAAAAAATATTATAAAAAAAGAGCATGCAATACGTCATTCACAACATATTAGTAGATGTGAATGAGCCGTATGTTGAATGACCTAAACATTGAGGTTAAAAAGCCGCCTGCTTCATCCTGAGCATGTGTGCATATGCATACTCCAGAGGGCAAACTTTGAAGGACAGAACTTAATCACAGGAGTGTAAGCGTAGTTTCATTCTCCACCCATGAATTATTAAGTTGTATAATATTCTGTACGGTCAGTAATACTGAATGCCCAGATCTGCCATTTATTCAGTAGAAAAACCCTGTGCTATAATGAAACTGTTACTCCTTCTAGAAATTAACAGCACACTTTATGCATTTCAGATTGCTTGTGGCATTTCAAAACTCAGAAGATAAATGAAGTGGACAGTGATTTACCAGGCAACGCTGTCCCTATTCCGTACATACAAGATGCCATTTTCAGTGGTAATGAATAATTTGAACAGCTCATTGAAAGGGAACAGCAGATGGTTTAGAGCTCATTAGGCTCTTTGTGTTTACTTTAAGCTGAGGCAATGTTTGAAAAATGTGGCTTTAACCTTTTCTAAGTAGAGTCTTGGCAGGCTTTAATTGGTTTACTTTCTTGCCTTGATATTACACTATCCATTTAAGGCTAGATGGAAACCCATGTTTGTTAAATCAATGGTCATTTAAGTTTTGGAACATGTTTTTGGAGAAGTGGCTGTACCATGTTAGTTTAGAAAAAGAAATGACAAGAATGCCTCCGAGATATGGGTAGTGCTTTTCTCACACCTTCACCCTCTGCACAGATCATTGCAGGACATCTTCTGTAGCCGTTACACTGTGAAATCCTCTGATAATGCTTGAATTGCAGGCCTAACGCAAGGTCATGCAACAGACTCCGGGAGGTTGTTATTTTCATGAGTAAAGATCATTTGATGTCTGTATCAAAGAAAGCCGGCTAGCTGTTGGTTTTCAGGGGATTTCTTTTATTTTTATTTTACTAGAAGACCAAAAAAAAAACATAGAAATAATTTCTTTTTAGTATATTTTTCAAAGGGGCCAATTCAAATGGAAATGGAAGCAGGTGTGGGAGCAATTCAAGGAATTCATACATGTATTGCGGTTCACTAAAATATTTGCAAGTGTCTTATATTTAGAGTTTGTTGTTGTGTTCAGAAACACTTTTTGTTATATTGATGAAATGGTCCTCCCATCCTGGATGTAGTCAATACCTTATGTATTCAAAACAAAAGGAAAGAAAAAAGCTGCAGGCCTGTTAAAGCTCTGAACAGTCATAGTCTACTTACAGGTGAATGAGAAATGAGGTGGTTAGGTTGAAGTCCAAAATATATTTTGCCTGGTTTGCCGAATTCTGCTGTACTGTAAGATGCGTGTCACTACCTGATCCGTACCGCTAGCAAGCTTCATACCATCAGCTCATTTTTGCATGCGTAACCTGGTATACTTCCGGGCCGCCATCAATTTACTTAGTAAAAAAGACCTAAATTATGCCCCCCCCCAAAAAAAAATAAATAAAAATATAGTAAGCATAGTAAGATATAATGCCTTAAAGGTTAATAATGTATTTTCTGAAGAAATACAGTAAATGACTTAAAATCCTTTTTGTTTTATTACTCGTCCGTACCCTTTCTGTACAGGAAATGGAATCTTCCGGTACTTTCGGGACTTAACTTTTTTGACTTTGGATTTAAACATAAATCTAGTCTTTTTGAGTTTTATTTTTTCCTTTCATGTTAACCTTATTTTATATAGTGTGTAAGCTAAAGAAAGAAACAATTAAAATGCAGATAAACATGGTTTAATCATAATTTGCTGGACTACACTGAGCATGTCCAATGATGCCAGTCAAGCAGTTCAACGAAGAAAATTTAACAAGCATTAAATTGTCTAAGAAAAGTCATAAAACATTTTTTGAAGATGTGTATTTGCATTCTTTAGTGATTTAGGGATAAAAATAAGTACTTTAATTACATTATTTTTGACAACCTGGACTAATATCTGCTTTCACATGCACAAATGACCTGTGTTCTGATGAAGCTGATGTTATGGATCGAGCTTCCGGTACGTATCGGGTAGTGACCATGCGAGTTAGAGTTTTTGGGGGAGAACGCTTTGAACCAAGGGGGGAAGGGGGGTGCTATTTTCAAATCTTGCTATCTTTTCAACATTACCAACAATAGCTTTAAGAGCTCTAACATAGTGATGTTTTTTTACTTTATTTTGTAAATAAAGGTTTTACTACATCACTGATTCGATAAAAAAATATATTTATTTCATTCCCCTTATTGGAATTTTGCTCCCTTCCTTTTTAATGAATATTATTTGTTTCACAAAACTTTATAACCAGATTTTTTTCTTTCCAATTTTTTATCTTTGCTTATGTTATTGCATCAGTTGTTACCAACATCTGCACATTGTGTATACAATGCTCATCTTTCTCATTGTGCTTATTATGTTGTAACACATTAACAAACATATTTGAGCAAAGGATGAAGATGTTTGTATTTTCTCTTATGCTCCCATCCTACTAAATAAATAATCAAAATCTTACCCAGATCCATGCTTTAAGGCTTTTGGAGGTAGGAGAAAAATAGCCATGTAATAAATGACATCCTTTCTATTTAGGAAAGGGTCCTCTTTGATGTCTACAGTGTGAAAAACTCAAATTGAGTCCCCCCCCCCCCCCCCCCCCCCCCTTTTAGGTTAAAGCATCAGAAAACTAAAGCATAATTAGAACAGCTGAAGTTCACAATTCTCCCCTGCACTGTTCAGGAGTACTAATGTACTTCATACTCGATTGCCCTTCTCCAGTGTCTATTGTAGGCTTGTTAGATTATTATTCTTTGCAGGGTTTTTTTTGTGTATGTTGTATTTTTGTTTTCACTTCGGAAAGAATAAAATATGAAGCACAGCAGGCAGCCCTTTCTGGAAAATAAATCAAACATCAGCCAAACGCAATCTTTGCATTCAGTATTCTTTCAGAATTCCAAATGTGGTTATAAAATCAATTTCTTAATGGATTACGAAATGGAAACAGCCAATCATGTTCTCCCAAATCTCATTACCCCTACTAAAAAATTATAAATTCTGTCCAAATCTTTCTTATGCTTGTTTTTCTTTCCTCTATGTGTACATTCATGATTGCACTTGCATGCCAACATACTAAGGAATATTGCACATCTGTATAGAATGGGGTTAAATGTGAGATTGCAGAGTGTAAACCCAAACTTGCAACCACATACACGTTGAATTTGTGTCTCTCACTCTCACAAATACACACATATCCTCTTTAAAGGCCCTAATCCCCTTTGTGAATCTGTCAGCCTTGTTGTTACAAATACAATAGGATTATTCACGTGTGTGTGTGTACATGGTGTGTATATATCAAAGACAGTGGCTGACTGTGGGAGTGTGATTGGTTTGTTTATGTGTGTATGCTTCCATCATAAGCAGGACTCTGTGAAAGAAGGGGGAAGAGAGGGAGAGAAGGAGTCACACTACAGGAATGCTCCAACTCTAAGCCTGTTTTCTCTCCAAAGCAATTTGTTCTCTATTCTTAGGCTTTGTATGTGCTTGTTTCGCTGTGTGTGAATGTGTTAGGGCAGACTGTGATTGGTTGAGTCTGCAGGTCTCATAAAGACGATGTCACGATGGAAATTAATGCAATACATCACAAACATGCACACCAGCTCAGAGGCACGTACAGGGTACATATTCTAAAGTGAAACACACATAGAGCACAAAGCCTTATTCCCGCCATGAGCCACTCCTGTAGATAATACTAAAAGCAGAAGTGGAACAGAGGACAAGAAAGGGAAAGGAAACAAGGGACAATAGAAATAGTATGTTTAGGAACCATTCAACTATCAATCAGAGTAATGGAGATATAGCTGAACTTTCATAGATATTACTTACAGGAACATTGATATCAGCGGGTGGTGGTGTAGTCAAGACAACAATTAAAAGATCTTTTTCCTTCTAATCCTACAACATCCTCTCCGATTTAACATTTTTTAAGGTCTATATGTAGCTCCACTAGTATCTAGTAATGGCGACTAGATTAATATGACACTTCTTGTTAAGCTAATGGATGTAAAATACCTACTTATAACAATATAGAGTTGTAATTGAGCTCAGTTTTCCTTTTTTAGTATCATAGCATCAGCCACTATTCTGACCATGCACAGTAGTTAAAATGATTATCACATTCTATTGATGTGAAATTACCAAGAAATCCATACATTATTAAAAATGTATTTGCAGCTGAAATGTTTAAGCTCTTTAGCAGTTATTTCCAAAGGTGTGTGGAGGATCTAGATGACTTTACATAACAAATTAAAAAGTCATGTATCTCTATGTGCTCAGAAATGGTTCCTTTTTCAAAATGGTAATTTAATTCACTCCGATGTTAATGCATTTTCATTAATCTGTGTCATTGCAGAAATAGACAAAGAGAGTTGCGGTGACCCTGGAACCCCTCTCTATGGAGTAAGAGAAGGTGACAGCTTCTCAAACGGGGGAATCCTGAGGTTCGAGTGCCAGTTCGGCTTCGAGCTGATTGGAGAAAAAACTATCTCCTGCCAAGACAACAACCAGTGGTCTGCGAACATACCCATATGTATATGTAAGGATTAAAATTGGATGGAAATAATTCATGACATCTGAGCTGGCATGTTCTTATAGCTTTCTCGCTGACCTGTCACCATGGCGACAGGACAGATATTAGTATGGCCTAGGGCAGATGATGACCGATGACGCTGAGAAGATGAATATTTAACAGAAATTATGTGTGTGTGTGTGTGTGTGCATTTCTCTCTTCCTCCTATAGTCCCCTGCATGTCCAACTTCACAGCTCCCTCAGGAACCGTCCTCTCTCCAGATTACCCAGAAGGCTATGGGAACAACATGAATTGTGTCTGGCTCATCCAGTCTGATCCAGGCTCGAGAATCCACTTAGCATTTAATGACTTTGACCTTGAGGCACCATACGATTCTCTAACTGTGAAAGATGGTGAGACAAATGATGCGCCTGTCATCGGGAGGTTTTCTGGAGCCGAGAGTCCGTCCCACCTGACGTCTAACACCAACACGCTGAGACTTGAGTTTCAGGCTGATCACTCCATGTCTGGGAGAGGATTTAATATCACTTACAGCAGTATGTATCAGTTCTTAAGCCTCTGGTTCTTTCAGTTTTAGTAGAGAAGCTAAAGTCTAATGGCTAATATAAAGTATTAATTAAAAAAAATAAAAAAGAGTATAGGCACTTCCCATTCTAAAGAAATGGTCATTGTTACATGTCATATTGGAAAGAGTAAAAGAAAACAAAATCTATTTTCTGAGGCTTCTGCAAACACTGGTGAGAAATATTATTCACTATGAGTATAAATGGTCATATATTACCAGAATATATAGATCAAGGCTTTTTAAGTTAATTAAATGAGTAAAGACAATGTTTGACTTCAGTTTATTGCGGCCGCAGAACCAATCGGTAGAGATAACATTAGGAAAAAAAGGAATTAAAATAAAGAGGGTTGAAGCCATCCCGTTTTACAGGAATATTTAGTATGGATTTTTTAACAAATCAAAATAAGAGAATTAAAAATAAAGACAATAAAATGGTTTCATGATATATATGTATATATATATATATATATATATATATATATATATATATATATATAGATATAGATATAGATATAGATAGATAGATAGATAGATAGATAGATAGATAGATAGATAGATAGATAGATAGATAGATATTTTCTCCCTTTTTATTTTCTTTTATTTGAACATAAGACAATAATTTAAGACAAAAAATTTAGAAATGAAAGGAAAAAAAAGGATATATATATACATATCCATATATATATGTATATGCTTGTATAACTTGTAATTTGATTCTTTTTTTTGTGATGTATACAGCTTTTGGCCACAATGAATGTCCAGACCCTGGAATTCCAATCAACGCTCGGCGCTTTGGAGATAACTTCCAGCTTGGCAGCTCCATCTCTGTTGTGTGTGAAGATGGTTTTATTAAAACGCAGGGAACTGAGACCATCTCTTGTCAGCTAGAACGGGGAAAAGTCATGTGGAGTGGGCCAATTCCTAAATGTGAAGGTAAACATTGACAAGACAAGAATTCTAGTTAAGCTATAGTGTAGGGACCATTATATCATCCAATATATCCGCAAACATTACTACCATAGCAAAGATGTATAAAACAGATTAAGGTACTGCAAAATGTCCGTACTCCTTGAGCTTTTTTAATATTAGACGCATTGAAATTTAGGAGACTATATGTAAAATTTTGGAAGAAGATGGCACATAAATCTTTTTTTCTAACATTGGTATGCATGTTTGTTGGGTCCTCTGACTCAGTACAATATACAGTCAACTTTTTTTTTTTTTTTTAGTGCCAAAAGGCTTTGGGATCTTTATCTGCTTTAAATATCTAGAGAGCATCAGTTCGTTTAAACTTTGTCTGAATGGATGAGGTGCATTATTAAAAATATATTTTTATTTTGAAATCCTGTATCAGAGTCCGATTTTCTTTAGTGTAAGTGTTCCTTTTTTAGGGCTTTAGGACCAAATTTTGTGGGGCATAATACAAAACATTATGATGCTACCCTCTCACTTTAGCGTTTATAGTGATATTTTTTAACGTTCTTTGTCTGCCATACAGATCATCCACCTCTATAAGTGCCTTTCCAGTTCCATCTGACCAGTGCACTTGCTTCCACATGCATATGTCACCTACCGCAAAGTGCAAATGAGACATTTTATATCTTTCTTTGAACAGTGGTTTTTTTTTCTTGCCTCTTTTCTACAAATGCCAGATTCGTGGAGTGCACAACTAATATTTGTCCTCTAGTCCTCTTTTTGTGCAATGAATCTCAGCATCATCCATAGTTTCTGTGATTGTTACCATTGGCTTTATCATTGGTGCTGTCCTTACTCCACCTACTGAACAACTTAATTTATAAGGAATAAACTTGCCTGTGACGGACTCCATGTATGAATTTACTGCCTAACCATTAAAGGATCTAAACATTAAGAGGCAATAATTTGTAAAGACGGGTGACCACATGACTAATTGTATGGAGATCGTCTATGAGGTCCCCCAGGGGACAGTATTTGGTCCTTAACTGTTTATATATATATATATATATATATATATATATATATATATATATATATATATATATATATATATATACGTATAAGCCTGTTTGAAAAGCAATATCCTTTCATCACACATCTTTATGTAGATGGATTGTTTTTTTTTATTTATCTATACAAACTTTATGTAAAAATACAAAAGCCGTGCTTCTCATTAAACTGTAAACATGCCTTGATGTTACTGTGAAACATGATCAGAAAGTTGTTTGGTCCTTATACTTTGCACCAACCTTTTTTAAAGATGAAGTAAAGTTGCGATTAATTTGCCTGCCTTTCATCCATTGGTGGGGATAATTCACTCGCCTAAGTTGGATGCAAATCTTGCAGAATATGCATGTTGCTACTTCTCATACATTACTCATCAGACTGTACTGACCTGTAGACCCAGATTATGTTTTAGTGTTCTCCATTTTTGGTCTCAAACATTCCTCCTCATCTCCTCCAGCTCCATGTGGCGGGCACTACTCCGCTCCAAGTGGAGTCATTCTGTCTCCTGGGTGGCCTGGTTACTACAAAGACTCCCTCAGCTGTGAGTGGGTGATCGAAGCTGAACCAGGACGGTCCATCAAGGTCACATTTGACAGGTAGGCAGCAAATGGTTTTGCAATATTATTAAAACCCTCAGACCCTCTACATTTGACAGCTATATGTTAACAAGAGGTCTCTGTGGTTAAGAAGGAATTTAATTTAGTTTTAAGGTTACAAATCACAAGATTAAGAGTACTCCTTGCCTTTTTGGTGCAGATCTCTTAGTTATAATTGTTTGTAGATTTCTAAATTTTTTTTCATACGAATTTCTAACTTTACAAAATTAGACAATATCTTAGTTTTTTATTTTGATTTTTGGGCTTAATAATGGAAAATTACTTTTCTTTACTAAAACTATATAACATCAGAAGATATTCAAGTGTTGCATTATAAATATGTAAAGAATGCCAGAATATCTTTGCTAAATGTGATTCATCATGGTCACAAACCTTTTATAAATTTGTCAAACTGGGAGCATAAAATTATCTCTTTAATGAATATCCGTTTCTTTTTATATTTTCCACACCTTTAATAGGTGGATATGACAACGAAAATACTTGTAAGGTTTTTAATAAAGTAATAATGAAGCTTTATTGTATAATTTATTATTATTCTCTCACAGGTTCCAAACAGAGTTGGGTTACGACTTCCTTGAGATCCACGATGGGCCAAACCTCATATCACCTCTGGTTGGCTCCTTTAATGGCACCCAGGTGCCTCAGTTCCTATTTAGCAGCAGCAACTTCCTTTATCTCCTTTTTACCACTGACAACAGCCGCTCCAACGTTGGCTTCAAAATACTCTATGAGAGTAAGTTGGAGACAAATATATTCTGTGGTTATGAGCTGACTAAAAGTGAAATGTTTGCAAATTCTTGTGAAAAATGTGTATTGTTGAATATTTAACATATAGTATGGGCCTTTTGTGAACAGTAAAATAAGTATAATTCACATTAGGTAGGTAATTAGGTAAGTTGATTCTTATTTTTGTATTTTTTATTCAGGTGTTACAGTGGACAGTTATTCATGCCTGGATCCTGGTATTCCTGTTAATGGTATTCGTTATGGGCAAGATTTTTCCATTGGATCCACGGTTTCATTTGGCTGTGATTCAGGCTACAGACTCAGCCATGAGGAGCCACTGGTGTGTGAGAAAAACCACTGGTGGAGCCACGCCTTACCGACATGTGATGGTAACTCCTTCCACAACATTTCTTATTTGGCACATACAGTTCACACAAGGTAATAACATGCATGAATTAAAATGCAACATAATTCTTTTCTCAGTCTCATAATAAATCAGACTAACCCCCAGATTCCACATCCTCCATTGCCGCTCCGTGGTGCTCACATACAGTACGCCCTGTGGAGCACTTGCAATGTCATGTTAATCAATGAGAAATGTTCCACATCCACAACTACTCCTCAGAACGTCACTGTCCACGTACACCTTCTCCATCCTTCACCTGCAATATACAGAGTCAAGCTATTTTTTGCTCCCCTTTGGTCTGTTGGTAGCCAGCCAGGTCAAGATCCACAACATTAATTGTACCAAACAGGAAAAAGAACATTGAAAAGATCTGATTTGTCAAATTAAGGTACGGTAACGACAGATCGGTAACAAAAAATGAAAGCATACTTTTATTTATTCCCAAAGAAGAATTGAATGCAAACTATTGGTACTTCAACATACAAGAAAGCAGATTTGTCATCTCGATCAAAATATTTATTTAATGCTGAAAGGCTTAAAAGTTTCATCAAATCCAGTCACAACTTCAAAAGAAAGTATTTGGGCATGCAGGTGGAGTAGTGGTTAGCACACACGACCCATGTACGGAGGCCTTATTCGCTTGACGCGGGCGAGCTGGGTTCGGCCTATGGTCCTTTCCTGCAAGTCTCTCCCCCTCTCTCATACCCCCTGTCCTGTCAGCCTACTTTCAAAAAAAAAAATGAGCCACTACTGCTGTGAAAACTCAAAATAAATAAATGCTCACCTCAAGCTCCAAGAAACTCAGAGTGGAGCAAGATGGGAGGAGCCGCGTAGGCTGTAGGCATTCGTTTGCACCGGCGGTCTGGAACGAAGCGTAGGTGGGCGCTGATGGATGATGTGGGATTTTGGGATAAACTTCCCCGTTTTAAATCAAAATCACCTAAATTGTTTGAATTTATTAAAAAATTGTAGAAAAAAATATGTTTGTAGGGTGTAAAATTAGCCTCCAACTAAACAAAGTTTTCTTTTAAATGAATGAAAGGTATTCACAGAGTCACACTGAATGTATCATGCATTTAAACTGGGTTAGAGCTCATCTGCTCAACTAAACTGTTTCTTTTTTCGGAAAGAAAAACCTTCAGAGCTAGTTTACCATCACCTTCTCTAACATAGAGGATGTTTATGGATCAATGCTTCCGTATTATTTTGAGAACGTCTTGTGGGTGGGAAAGCAACTCAGATTGACTGTGGTTCTGCTTGAAGTTTTTTACTGTTAAGAGGGATTTTTGTTCTCTCCATGTTGCTGTATGCATATGTGGTGTGGGAGATTTCTACAATGTCATTGAGAAGCAAAAGTGTACTGTGTCTACATGCTCATCCATCGGAAAGGAATCAAGCAAAGTCAGCCACCGAAAGCAAGTTAAAAAAGAAAAAAAACAGACTTATAGATAAGCTAACTTCTTAAGATACTCAGTTGGACTAGATTCATTTGTATTACAGTAGATTAGAGCTGAAAATAGCTGCACATCGTACTTTTAGGTGTTTTTTTATTATTATTGGTTAGACAAAGCATTTGATTTGTTTTAAATGAGAATTATGTGCTTGTTTCTCTAAGATTAGTTTATCAAATAACTAAATACATTGACAGATATGATTGTAAAGTTTTTTGTAATTTGATTGGTTTGAGTACTTTGCTAGGCACAGTTTATATGCAAGTTTTGACAATTGGAGTTTTTCAATGCAACTGTTACAGTATCTGCCAATACTGTACCTACTGACTTTTGGCAAGGGTGAATTGTTTAGCTACCCTCGTCTGTCGAGTTGACTTAAAAGGCTTTAAAATCAGAGACCATGGCTCTTCTTTGCTTTCCAGTAAAGCTGTCAAGCAAGTGTATCTCTGAAGTATAGTTGTCACGAAACCAGATAAAATATATCCCAGCACTACAAGTTTTAGTTGTTGGTCTTGCTAGCACTGGGTTGTCAAGGTAACAATATATATTGAAATAGTAGTTACTAGGCCAATTAAAGCCATTTTTGTGGAGGATCAGATAAGAAGGAACCTATCTAGGTTTTATTATGTTGGCCAAACAGGACCAGCAAAGGGAGTAGAAATATATGATTCAAAGGCTTCATTTAAGGAGAAAGCTAGGGGCATTTTTTTTTTTTAGAAAGAAGACTAATTTCCTTGTTTTTCTCCTCTGAACACTGCTGTATCATGATTACAGTTTTATGCTATACTGCTCTGCTAAGGCTCATGCAACTCGTAGGTGTCCTGCTGTCAGCCACCTGCCTTTCAAGACTAATCGAACACCATAGATAAAACACAAGGCGCAGGCAGTGAAACAGTATTATGTGCCTTGACATCAGTGCATGACTGCTTTCCTAAGGCACAGAAAAACTCAAAATGGACCTGTTGATACAGAATTTCATTTAATCTAGAAACTTTTCTGATTAGATTTGTTGGCAAAAAAAAATAAGATAAATTATCGGCTTGAAACTTTAGTTTTCTGCTATAACGAATATAAAGAACTAAAGAAATAGTAAATATTTAAAAGAAAATCTGTGGGCTTTCAGGCAACCTTCCTATTTGAGGCACATTTGCTTTAAATTTTACAGATGCAATAATTTAAATAAAATATTAGACATCTTTGTGCACATTACCATTAATATGCACTTTAAACATGCCTGTGCACTTTAAACATGCATGTGCACACTTGGCTCTGTTATAAATGTGCACCCTGTCACCTCCTGTCTTGTGAGAGCCAAGAACACAGGGAGGTTTGAGGTAAGGTTGACGAGACCCGTTGTTGGCTGTCACCTCTTCTTTCTTCTCTCTCAAATCAGAAGCGTGAGTTGGGGAGGCACACAAGAAGGGGAGGAGAGAAACCTGTCTTTCTCCTTGCCTGTCTTTCTCACTTCAAATCACAGTGGTGCAGGAGAGGTGGGAGGAAAAGACGGATGTGCCACTGCAGCATTACTTTAGTGGCAGCCTGCATACTATGGCTCAGTGGCTCATTCATTTCTGAAGCACTCTACCATTCCTGGTTGCAAGAGTGTGTTCTGTTCTCTGAGGAGAAGATTTAAGCACAATAACTGTAATACTGGAAAAATATTAAATATGAAGTGTTTTGCAAAAGTATCCATACCTTAATTCAACTTAAAACTTTAAATATTCAAATATTTATAATACAGATCAAAGAAGATGATTACCATCTTAAAAATGGAAATAATTCTTCAACCACATCCACATCTATCCCAGATAAGTTAAAAATCAGGTGCTTCCACTAGCTACTGTATGGGCAAAGTCTGATTTTTGGAAACAAGTTGAATAAATGTCAAACCTTACTAAAACAGAATATTGTAAAGGCAGTTTTATGCATTTGTTTTAAGGTAGTCATTTGGACTGGCTGCAAGATCATATCCCTGAAAAATCTAGCAAAAAACTGAACAAAAGACGGTGTCATCCAGGACATTTTATTGTGAAGTTTTAGCCCTACACCTTTTAATATTGAACTGTTAGCATTAAGCTATCCACTCAGGTTAATCAGTGTTGCTTTAGTAGCAGTTTATACTGACACTGAGTGTGACATCATAAACTCATCTTCTGCTAAGCTACAGACTGTCAGGATGTGTAAAGTTTGTAGCTGGACCCAAAATGCAGAGCCTGAGGCAGAGATGAGTTCTTGCAGATTTATTGCAGGGAAAATATGTCCAAAATTAAACAGCCAAGGAACACGAGAACTAGAACAGGGTTAACAGGGGGTGACAGGAACTGATGAATACATGACATAATGGCAACAATCCAGTAAAGACAAACTGAAGTGGAGGGGTATACATACAGTGAGGAGGAGACTAACAGGACAAAGATTGGGGTAATGGTCTGAGTGGGAACAGGTGTGCAGAAAATGAGCAGAAAAACCAATGGGAAGGAAGGCGACACTAGGGGGCAATGAAGCTTAACTGGGAAATATAACCTAAAGCTAACTTTAAACAATGAATGACAAAATACAACCACAGCAAAGACTAAGGAATGCTAAAGAGGAGATAACTGAAAAATCACCAAAAAAAAACAGTAAAAAGCAGAATAACATAAATCGAAGCCTAACTGAAAACCCAAAGTGAAAACTAAACAGAACCAGAAATCCTAGAGTGGCAGATCACAGACACAACACCCAATGTGTTTTTGGAAACATCAGGGGTCTCATTATAAAACATTGTATGGAATCCATGCCTAAAGTGTACATAATCCAAGCCCCCAAAAATGAAGAGTGCAAAAAGATCTTGATTTGTTAAAACACCTGCATGCACAAACCAAGAAATGTTTCTTCAAAAATTATATATCCAGGGCTCCACCTCATCTTTAGCTCTTTAATTGCCCACATTCAACTATAAAAGGTCCATGCAATGCAATGCATGAATGTCATTGAGTATTTAAATGAGCTGATCAGTGTTATTTAATGGTAACCAATGGCAACTACATCTAAAAGAGCTGAAAAAAGCAAAGGTTGAACGAGGTTGGCTATTTAAGAGGAGGAGAAGTCAGATGAATATGTTTGGTAACCATTGTAAATTAAATATTAACAACACATTTAGGGTCTCACATTTAGGGTCTGATATGGGTGGATTATATTAACAAGGATATCCAAGCAGCATTGGGCTGTGATATCTCAGATTATGAATAGATTCACAGAAGTATTTTGTTCCTAAAAGCGACTTTGTTGGTTATTGTTCAGTATGGTTAACACCAGTTTGCGGTGATGAGAGCCGACAAGCAAAAAGCGGTTCACAGCTGTTATTAATAAAAAGGGGATTTATGCACATTTACCTCCTCCTGTTAAACACCTGTGGGTCTGAGAGCAATGCGCTATGGAGTCTTATCAGTTCATATCCCGTCATCTTTCTGTCTCAGGGATTTCTTGACACAGGTTGAGGATTTGTGTCAAAATTACAACCTAAATTACAACGAAACAAATGATATAGTTG